GCTTCCTAAGATACAACAAAGCAAAAACAACATGCACTTTACAGATTGGAAAAGGACAGACAGGGTATATACAGAGCGACATTGGCAGACAAGACTTGTAAACAAGCAGGACATATAGATAACAAGGGGAAACAATGCCAGAATTAGCTAAAATATTAATTTGATCTGTATATTGGACTGTAAGTAACAGACTGTGTCTCTGGTTTTAAGCTCAAATCTGCTACAAAGCAGTTATGTCTGCTTGATTATTACAGAAAAATGCTGAACTGAAAAGTAAGCAGGGACTTTCTGGGTTTGTTGTGATCATACTGACATGTGACTCTTATGTCACGTTGCTCCTGCATGCAATTATTGTGGTTGGTAAAGCAGTTTTCACACAAATATGAGGCCTTTGTTATTGTGGGTCCCCCTCCATAATAGTCAGTTATTTGATGTCACTTCAGAGCATTGCTGGGAATTTGTGTGTCCACATGAAACACAACTACACAGAGACAGTTTACCTTCTTGACAGTAATCTCCTCCAGTGAGTTTTCTTTATAGATCTTCTGTTTCTGTTTGGCCACAGAGATCCAGCTGGGAGACTCAGATCCACCAGAAACACCACGAGCTGCAGCTGGGTCTGAATCAATAACACAGCACACACACACTGTTACACCATGGGTTGAACCCTCCACTGTTTACTCCTCCAGAAGTGTTTATGTGTGTATTCACACCTGAGATGCGCTCTGGTTTCTTGGGGAGGGCTGGCTTGTTGCTGACTGGCTGACTTATGGAGGGCTTTACACCGACTGGCTGCGGTGAGTCAACTTTACAGCTGGTTGGCTGAGCTGGTGGCTCGATGGGAGGCTGAAGAAGAGAAACACATAATAAATAAATACAAGATTCAACACAAAATGTTGAACATGTGAGCAAACAGTCGCCTGTTACACATCCAGGTGACAGAGAGACAGATTAGTGTTCATGAAGTCCAATGTAAGAGCAACATATATTCTGCTTTTAGCTGAAAAAAGTTGTCTGCTGCAGCTGAAAACAACAAGGCTTACAAACAGTACACAACACATACACACAATACACAACTTTAGCTCGTGTTTATAGAGTTTACGGACATGTTAGGAATTGTTTAAATGTCAGATTTCCTAAAGGGAGTTTGGTGCAGCGAGATTTTAGTGAAATTCAAACTGATAATATGTATATTTTTTAACGTCTTGTCACCACTACAGAAACACTAAATAACTGCTTTAGTATGATAATGTGGTCAGACATTAACTGCTGTTAGTTGTAAGTTTGATAAATGGTTTAATAATATGTGTATTGATTACTGATGCTGGCTGATCAGGCTAATAATCCGCTCAGTTTCAGCAGTGTGCCCTTTGTGCATGTTTTTAAACTACTTTCCTAATTAAACATGACGTGCTTATTATTAATGGTGTTATTAATGGTGACTGATGAAACATAGTTTGGAAATTCCCGATTACAAGGCTGAAAGTTGCGTAATGTGAACTGTACAGAGATCTCACAACTCTGAATGTCTGTAGTGTGTCCAAGGCTTCAAAGACACTAAAACGCTCTGTAGAGCTGAGGGAAGACGTGGCGTCACCTTTCACATATAAGCAGTCATTTGATCTATTGTTATATAATTGTTGCAGCAGCTTAAATGCTCTCAAATCCCTAAGATAGGGAGCATTAAGCTATGGTTCAGTTTTATTGTATTTTACTCAAAAGGAAAGAGAACTTTAGATTCCTGCAGAAAGTTGAACATCTTTTTGAAATTATTATTATTTTATTTTAAGGCTGACTCCAGTAAAATATGTCCAGTAAAAAGGAAGAATATATATAAAAATACATAAATAATATAAATAATAATACAAAAAGGGTTTTTCTCGAATAAAGGCAGTGAGAAATTAACTGTTACTCAACCTCTCTGCCTCTCTGGGTCTTTCTGTCTGTATTCAATGCTTTTTAAAGAATGACAGTTTTCTTTCCACTGTGTAAGTCCGTGTAATCACCTCTGTGTTTTCCTCCTCTGAGCTGAAGCGGTGCAGAACTGACGTCTTCCTCAGCCGAACTCCAAACGGGTTGTCGGGGTTTCCCTCCGCTACGACAGAGATTTCTGCAGGCGGGAGGGCGGAAAAAGTTGGTCTGTGGTTAAACTTTATTATTTTACCCCAACAGAAAGCTTGCCTCATGTTGGACTACTTTCAGTGCGTGTGGTGCAAAGAGAAGAGAAACACTGGACTGAGAATAATACCATTAGAGTGCCTTTAAACATGTTCTACATCCTCACCTTCTGAGCTCTGATGTTTCATTGGGGACTGAGGCGGCGTTGTGATGCTTTGTGGTTTGGCAGCAGTGGTCCCTGCATTCCTCCCTCTCCCAGGACTCAACACCAGTTCAACCTTAGCCGGACTCGCTGGCTCTTCTTTCACTTCTGGGTCCTTTTTAGCCTCCATCTCCAGATCTCCAGGCCCTGCGATGGCGGACGACGGAGAGGAGACGCAGGCGGGCGGAGAGGAGGGAGAACTCTCTTTGGCATCTTCTACAGAGTGTGACCTCTGCCAGGCAGGGGCGACGGTGAAGCGGACTTTGCTCTGATCTGAACCGACTGTTTCCTCCACAGACGCGGGAGATGTAGCTTCTTCTACGGCCAACTGTTTATCTTCTTCTATGGTTTCCACCGTGTCAGCTGGTTCTTCTTCTGTGGATGCCACATGTTGCTCTGTGGCTGCCACAGCATGAGAAGGCGTCTCGCTTTCTTTGGGACATGCAGCAGTTGGAGACTGTGGGAAGAAAGACGTGACTTTCTCTGAGCTTGGAGAGATCAGATTTATGTGGAGAGTGGTAGTGCTGGTCTTACTGGGAGTGATGGTTCCACTCTCTGGTGACTGGGTCTCATAATGGAAATCCGGAAGAGACAAAGAAGAAGGCTTGGAGGAAACATCAGCTTGTTCTGCAGCTTCAGTTTGATCTTTTTCCACTTGCTTTACGTCTAGATGGGATTTTTCTACACCTTCCTGCTCCAGATCTTGTTCAGGTTGATCTTCATCAGGTTGGTTTTCTTCATCCTCTTCTTTCTCTTGGTCAGATTTTTGTTCCATGTGGTTGATCTCTACGCCTTCCTCCACTCTCTCTTCTTCATCTTCCCTCTCCTCTCCAAAGCTTTCGTCGTCACTCGGGTGTTGAGGGGTGTAAACGTGGTCGTCTCCGACCACGTCCACGCCCTCATCCGCCCCCTGCAGCGCCATTTTAACGTCTTCATCTGACGCACCAGGAAGCACCTCCATCACCTCTTCTGCGTCGTCCCTCTCGTCTTCTATCGCTTCCTCTGCCTCTTCTACTGTCTCTCTTGCTTCCTTCACCTCTTCATCTTCCTCTTCCCTCTTCTCCCGTCCCTCCTCCTCCACCTCTGGCTCCTTCTCCAGCTCTATCGCCTCTTCCTCTCCCTCACTCTCTTCTCCTTCTTCTTCCTCTTCTCCTTCCTCTTCCTCTGCGTGGTTGACAGTGTTTCCTGTGAGCATATCATTTTGTTCCTCTGGTGTGACTTCCTCTGCCTCCTTTTTCTCTCCTTCCTTGTTGGGCTGGAAGATAAAGAAGAGAGGGAAATAAAAGTAGAGATTTTAGTTTTTCAATTGAGCTTGATTGAACAGATTCTTTTATCAGTGGCACGTACGAGTGATTCGAGAAAAAAATGGCATTCACCAGTTCATAAGTGGTGCAAATCTGTCGTACGAGTCACGTACACACAGTTTGGCTTTCTCCACTATAATCAACACTTTTATATTAAAGGAGACCTATTGTGCTCACTTCCAGCTCTATATTCTCAGTCTGAGACTCCACTAGAGCAGCTTTGCATGATTCAATCTTCACAAACAAGCTGTGTCTTTAAGAAAGAGTGGAGGCAGAAAAGCTGCAGGAAAACAGAGGGAATACCTGAAAATATTTCCTTCACAAGCGAAAAAAGCATGTTTTGGACGTAGAAGGCAGTTATTTTCAGATAATAATTAGAAAAATCCACTTCACACTACCTGCTCAGCAGCAAACAGCAGATTGATGCAACTAGCTGGTGAACATAGCGGAGCATTTAGCAGCTAAAGAGGCGGATATTTCAGGAGTGATGAGACCAAAAACTGAGCTGACAGACGAGTGACTTACACTCATCTCTGTGTGTGCTGGGTATGTTAATGGGCATCTGTTTATTAAGGTGATAATACAGGATGTTAATGTTTGTGCTGACACATGTCGTTACTGCCCCCAAGTGGCCTAAATGGTTAATTAATTTAGAGTTGAAATATGATATCAACCAGTGGACTAAAATACTAATGATAAAATAAAACATATGAGAGTATTACATCGAGGCTTGTTGATAGATTTACTCCACAAGCACTAGAGTATGAGCAACCTGGCAATGTCTACAGTTAGTAGGATATACTTTTTCACCTCCCATTGACTGTGCTTGGCAAGACGTTTTTTAGGCTTCTAACTATCAAACCATATCCCTGTGTCACTCTGTTATGACAGTGTTGACACCGTAGAAATATGCTATAATTTCTTCAGAGCCCCCCTAGAGCCACTACTGACACTGCTAAATTTGTTTTTGTGTGCCGATTTCCAACAGCGGGACTTGAAGCTCTGTGGTGTGAAAATCTATTTACTCTTGGGTGACATGTTTGTGAATGAAACCTGCACAGAAATGGAGCAGAACAAACAGCCTTAGAGAGAGAGAGAGAGAGGGAGAGATAGAGAGTTTGCTGAATCCTACTTTGAAACACTTATATGAACCCCCCCTTCCCAAAAAGAAAGTATGAGAGGTTTAAGTTAAGTCTCTGGATTTCAAAGCTCCTTCAATCACAATATTACAAATGAATCAAAGATACATACACCATGACTGAATAGTTCCACCACTAGTTCTTCTTCCTCCTCCTCCTCCTCCTCCTCCTCCTCAGCCTTTACTGCTTCTTCTTCTGTATCTTCAACTTCCTCCTCTTCTTCAACATCTTGACAAGAGGCAGTGCTGGCTTCCTCTTCCTCGTTGGTCTGATCTGACAGGAAGGAGCCAACAGGAGCAGCCTGATAACCGACAGGCTGTTCCACCTCTGCCTCCTCTTCCTTCACCTCCTCGCCTTCTTCTACCTCTACGTCTTCTCTTTCCTCTTCCTTCACCTCCTCCTCTATCTCCAGGACGACACCCTCGGTCTCCACGCCCAGTGAGCAAGATGCAAGGGGGTTCTTCAAGGAGCTCAGCACCTCCTGTAAGAAGGAGCTCTCCTCTCCCCTGTCTTCCTGGACTCCATCTTCTTCCCCTCTCAGCACCAAGTCACTGTCAACCCTGTTCTCCACGGCTCCGTACGCAATGCCTGGGGCGTCCAGCAAGTACTCTCTCGGATCAGCAGGGGGCTCTGGCGTGGCTCTAGAAGCAGATATCAAGGGGTCAGATTGATAGAAGGAGAAAACAAAAACAAGCAGGTGGCAAAAGCGAGGAGGAAATGATGTCTAATCACCTGGGACTGTCCAGAGAGGAGGCGCTTGAGCTGGGCTTGGAGGAGGGAGGGCGCTCGGTGTCCGGAGCTTCCTCCTCTGAGAGACACAGCTCGAGAGGAGAGGAAATGTCCAGACTGCGAGAAACATCCTGTTCTGCTTCCGACTCATCCTCTCCCTCCTCCTTATCTCTCAACAGGGATCGCCTGGAATTCTGTGGTCGCTCCTCCTCTTCCTCCTCCTCCTCATCGCCTTCTTCCTTCTCCACCTCTGGTTTTAGCTCATCGGCACTTACAACTGGATCATAAACAGAAGCAAAGGTCTCTAAAATCAACCTGATATGATTCAGTAGCAGCAAGCATATGGAAGTCTACTGCTGCCAATGTTAAGAGGAAATAATTTAACCAGATCAAAGTTTCAAAGATCAATTTGTACGTGCATTATATTAAAATTAAAGAAATCAACATTTTAAATTGCACTTCTATGCATATTACCATCATTATGATAATGAAATTAAAATTTACTTTTTTGTCAGATTGGTGGATAATGTGAGACCTAAAGTTTAAAAATAAATGGAAAGTTTTTGCAAATGTCCTGATTTATAATAAATATGGTAAATTTTCAGGACTTTCAGGCCCCCTTTAAAAACCCTTATTATTTTATTTTCATTGTAATGAACTAAAATCAGGACACTCATTAACATAGAGCAGCAGTTTAGTTTGCAAATTGAATTTCAATTTGAAAATGAGAAAAACATAGCAGTTTTATGCTCGGGCGTAAACTGACAATTATTTAATATAAAATTAAAATACTTAATTGTATCTTACATTATTCCCTTACAAATGATATAAGGGATCTCATTTTGATTAAGGGGCTTCCATACTTGCAGAGTCATTGACATAAATTTAAAAAAAGGCGCACTGACCTCCTGTTGTCTTCTGTTCTCGCTCCTCCAAAGCTTCAGTTATGGAGGTGTTCTGTAGGTCCTCCAGCACAGAGTCTCCTCCTGCCTTCATCTCCAGCCTCTGCATGGACAGAATAACAGTGTCTCATTACCACTCTGATGGTTGGACACTCATTTAACCAGAAGATGCTTGTATTCTCCTTTGAAAAGGACTTCTTTATTAGTTCAGTAAACAGTTTCCTAATGAGTTCATGGTCTCAATCACTAGATTCAGTTCTTGTTTCAAACAGCATGATGTTCATTTCTTAAATTATGGTCCAATTTAGAGTAAAATAGACCATAAAGCAGGGTATGCTTAAGGGCGTGGCTACATTGTGATTGACAAGTCATTCTCAGTGAGTCCGCAGCACACAAAACTCAGATCCAACTGTCAAACTAGGCAGTGCTGATGAATCGAGATTGTGTTACTGCATACTGCCGACATCCATAAGGCCAAACTTGAGGCTTCAAAACGGTAGTTCACAAACAAACAGGTGACGTCACAATAGGCTCACACTTATAATAATAAACGAGAATGATCCTTTAAAGTATACGTAATGTATGTATCAGAATGTATGTGCTCCTGTTGGTGTGTTTGTATGTGTCTGAATGTCTTACAGTGACAGGTTTCCTCTTGTTGTGGGCTTTGTATCTCAGGCCCAGCTTATGTTTGGCAGCAGAGTTATCCAGACATCCGAAGGGACTGGCCGGCTGGCTGAAGTCCCCGGGAACCACCAGGGGGCTCACTGCTCTACTGGAGGCAGCACAGGACAGCTGGGGAGAGAGGGAGACAGACACAGAAGGTTCCACTAAAAAGCTTCACAAATAAACTTATTAACAGAGGAAATACCCCTCGGGCATTTAATAATAAAGGTAAAATAACTCCCTGCTAAAGCTGAAAAACAACACTTAGATCTGTGAAGTCATCTGGAGACACCTCTGATGGGGCACCATCCACAAAAGTTGGACTTTGTCCACCCATGTCCTGGGAAAATTATATCCAAATGCCAAAGTATCAACAAAGGCTGTCCAGACAGAGTCGCTCACGTCACAGCTTTGAGTCATCGCTCTTAGTCTTGATCCTGGCTTTGAGGGACCAAAGAGCCAAATATTGGAGGTGGGAGGGTGGGGGGGAGGTTGCTTATGATAGAAACAAAGGGGATTTTCATTAAAATGGCAAAGGTGACAGATAAAGACACCAGAGGAAATAGAGCTAGACCAGTAAAAGGAGGGAAGGGGAGAGAGTCCAGCTGTATAAATATTAGCAGTCCTTATCTGTAGGACCAACACTTGCTCTGTCATCACTGGCGAAGTATCACTCTCTCTCTCTCTCTACTCTGACAAATTCACATTGCATCTATTAATCCATTAAAAAAACTAAAAAGAGTCAATATTATTCACAGTTTGACATCTCAATGCATGCTTTGGCTAACTGAAAGAGTACAGTGACCGTTTCAGTTGACAAAACTCTGTGTTTGAACATTATTTTCTACCAGTGTCCTAAAGTAAAAACAATTATTTATAGAAAGGCACACTGTTCTTAAAAAGGTCCAGTGTGTAACATTTAGGAAAGAAATGGAATATAATATACACAGGTATGTTTTCATAAGTGTATAATCAGCTGAAAATATGAATTTCCTTAGAATGAGACGTTTTTAGTAGCCCAGAACAGACAAACTAAACACTGGCTCTATATCGGACCTAGGTGCCACTAGATCCTACACACTGGTTCTTTAGGTTTTTAAGTTTGATGCTTTGAGTTCCACTCTCTGGTCAATCTTCTCCACTGTATGTACATCAGCAAATGAAACCAGAACTGTTTACACACTATTTAGGACACAAAT